ACAACTCAGCAAGCCCATTCTAGAAACTTCCATGAGAAATGAAAACACATGTCAACACAAAGACTTCTACATGAATGTCCATGGCAGCTTTATTCACAGCAGCCCCAAACTGGAAACAACCCAAGTGTCCATCAACAAGTGGACCGATAAACAAATTGTAATATAAGCATACAACGACCTAATACTCAGCAAGAAAAGGTCAAGAACTATTGCTACACGGGACAGCACAGGTGAGCCTCACAGATTTACACTGCGGGAAAGAAGATGGACACAAAGTAGGTAGTGCAGGTGGTTGCCATGAAACTAGAAAAGACAAAGCTAATCTACAGCAAGGAAAATGAATCCGTGGTTGCCTGAGGCTGAGGGTGAAGACCCTGCCTGCAAAGGAGCATGAAGGAAATTTTCGGGTGATGCAAAGGTTCTATACCTTGACTGTGGCGGTGGGTACACTGATGTAACCCTTCAAAAGAACTTACTTGAAATGGGTGCATCTCATTCTAAATTACACCTCAATAAATACGATTTTAAAACTACATCTTACTTTCATTTTTAACATAAATGGACTTGAAAGTGAAGAGAGAAAAATTAAAACCACCTACGACCCCATTATTGGGTCAATTAAGCAAATTTTCTGCACACCAGAAAGTGTACCAGAGAGCTCTATGCAGCAGCTAAAAGCAAACTAAAAGTGCGGTGCACAGTAAGGAAGGGGAGGTCCTCGTGCCCAGGGCTCTTTTTGGGGCTGGCTGCGAAACGGGCAGAAAGATGGGGCTGAAGCTCCAGCGGGAGGTGGGGTTGAGCTCCAAGCTGAGTTCAGAGAGCACGGAATGGCCTCTGGGTGTAGGTGCTGGGCGGAGTCGCTGGGAGTTTGTGATCCCATCAGGCGTCAGGATGGAAACTTATTTGGCATCAAGAAGGCTCAAGGTGCATGCCGAAGGCTGCCCTAAACGCGCAAGCACATGCTGAAGACAGGCCTCCAGGCCCACTCTGCACTAACTTGCTGGGCCTCAGTTCCCCCATTTGTGACACGAGGGGGTTGGACTAGATGGACGTTTGCCGCAGCCAAGACACTGACTATTCCCAGGGGACGTCCGCCCCTTCACTCACAGCTCCAGGGCTGCACTCACTCCAACTGCGCCAATCCCCCGCCTGAGCCCCACCGGAAGCTTGTGGCCAAGGCAGGTAAAGGGCTGGTTTGTCCTTGCCCTGCCCCCTCCCCCCAGACTGTTGTGAAGTTTCCCAGGCCTAGGGACCTTCATAATTAGGTAGGGTCCAAACGGAAGGGCACATCACTTCACATCAAAAGTGTTCTCCTAAACCTATCTGCATTACGATGTTTGCCATGGAAGCATTCTCAAGAGCACAAACCTGTGAACCATCTACTGACCACAATCAACTGGGGATGGAATACTCAGCCTATGGAGAATAGGTGATAACGCCAGAAAAGCTCACGGGATCACGTTCCCTCAAAAGAGGAGGATATGACATTCCACGAGCCTTGTGACTACAACTTAGTGAATATGCACAGACAGACAGGATGGAACGCCCCAGGAGTCTCGATTCTTGCCTGTACCTCAAACTGGTTGAGGATCGACGTCACGAAGACAGAATGAAGTGGCTCATGCTTCCGAGAGCCGCAGCTCAAGGATCTCGCATTGCGATACCGGAAGTCCATGTCCTTCTGGACTATGTTTTCCCAGCAAGGGCTCCCCCTGGGGAGACAAAGATGGCAGTCGGCAGCTCCAGGTTTATATTTTTACTGATCTAGCAATCTCAGCAGGAAGTGAGAGCCTCTTTCTGGCAAAAGTTTTGAATTTCACTGGCGAGGCCCGGGTCACGCACCTGCCAGCGCTGGTTTCGGGGGCGCAGCCTCATGGGCCCTGAGTTTGGTTTGATGCTCTGCTACCCAAGATCTTGAAATTCTTAATAATTTTTGAACAAGACGCCTTGCGTTTTGCACTGGGCCCGCAAATGACAGAGCTGGTCCTGAGCTCAATGCAGCTCAAATGCCATACTGTGAAAATAGGAGGGTTAGGTCCCAGTGGAAAATGGGAAACTTACCAGGAGGAAGGGAGGCTGCATGGAGACACAGCAGACAGCCACCACAGATGCTGACAATAGTTGGGCTAGGGTAGGGGTGATTATTACTACTATTATCGATGTTATTATTTTGCAATGTAGCTCTCTTTATCATTTAAACACAAAATAGTTTCACTTTAAATACAGAAAATGCAGTTCTCTTTGAACTGAAGTGAGAGCTGTCAGAACTGTGGACTCGGGGAAGGGTTACCACCCCTGCTCATCTCCCACCAAGGGCTGCTCCAAAGAGC